AAATCCGGTAAATGGTCAAGAGCACGTCATATTTAAGAAAAGAAAAAGTCAGAACAAAAATGTTACCGTTCATCAACCGTATTCAAAATAACTGAAATCGCCTCAAATACGGTAAGCTCGCCCTGCATCAACTCCTCAGGCACATGCTTCAACCATTCTTTGTAAAACCTTGTGATGAAGGCAGATGAGAACAGCGAGTCCCTTTGCTCCTGGGCGTTGTAAGTAAAATTAATGTAAGAAGGACGATGTAAAAGGAAGCGTGCATGCATCAAAGTTTCGCCAAAGATAGTAACTTGATGCAAAGCAGACCGAGGCCCAAGGCATTTCCGCATTGTTTCTCGAAAAAGCGCTTCGTCATTTCTTGACAAACCATTCGACAGAAAAACGACATTCTTGAGTCGCTTGAACGCCTTCACAGTGCGGAGAATTTTCTTCATTTCCTGTAAATGAGTCAAAGCGCAGAAAGTAAAAGAGATGATCACCCCTTTTTACTCCAGGTGAACTTCGTATAAGATCATTTAACACATACAATACTTGGTAAACCACTCGATGTCATTCCTCAAAGTAATTTTCCTGAATTGCAAATCAGGCAAAAAGTTAAAAGTAATGAAATTTCTGTTGAATTCATATCATTTGATTGATTGAGCAGAAATTTCCAGCTCGCACATATACGGCGATTTAGAAATCTTGTTTCTTTCACAAGTCTTACCTTTGGGTTACGCACTTGAATCCAGAGATCCTCCAGAGAATTCTTACAGTGGCTGAGATGACGGAACACAGACAATGCTCTATCGGCTGTGGTTCCCGGAAATGCAATGAACTCCAATGGCTGTGACAATTGACCAAGAGTATCCACAGGAAGATCATCCGGTACACTCAGGATCAACCCTCTAAGTTTTGAGCAAAAACTCAGTTCTCTGAAGGCGCTTTCAGGGTTTCTAGGGACAGCTTTGTTTTGGAAGAAGAGAGCAACACATTCCAAATTCATCATTTTTGAGTAGGGAATGTATGTTTCCCACAGGTCAGCTGACACAAATTTCAGATTTGCAAGCCACTCCTTTGAACTTTCACTGAAGATCTGAAGTGCATTTAGAACTTGCTGTGTAGGCACGACAGAAGCTTGTTTGTCGACATTCCTGATCCAAAGCTGTTCCAATGATGGCATCAATGGTAAATGACAAACTGCATGAATTGGTGATGCATCTTCCAGCCACAGCGATTTCAACTATACAGCATATATACAATAAAAAAAATTCAAGATAAATTATCACACACAGAAGGTCGGACCAGTCAAAACATGACCTCTTTCAGTACAGCAAAATAGTTTTCACAGTAAGAATTGAGAAAAAAAATTACTCCGTCTAAAATGGATTCAATTTCAATCCCTGTCCTACTTTGTTTTCTACTTCTTCAACCTCTCTGGTATGCATTTGATGGTCATCAAGAATAAGAAGCCAAACTGGAAATGTCTCCCTATCAGCATTAAATAAGAACTTATTTACTCTATACAGTGAGACCCCCACATGCAGACGCCTCCACATCGGGACATTTATTTTTCAACAAAAAAATCATAAAAAAGACCCAACATGAGGACACTGACTCGACCTGGGGACATTGCAGGGTAAAATTCCAAAATAAATTTTAGGAAAATCTATTTTTATAAGGCTTAATTGCAAGAAACAGATGTTTCCAACCTAAGATCTATGCAAGAAAAATTCTTTGGTACTTTTCCCATCATTTTCCCCATCCATTCGGCTAATTTAAAAAATGCCCTATAGCACAGAGGTACTTGCTTCTAGCTCTCTTTATGACATGGATGTTATTTTTCCAGATGCCAACTTTTCAATTTACTGTACAGAGGTACACTATTCAATGTTCCAAATGTTCTTATTGGTTTGAAAAGATATTCATTGAATCAAATTCAAGTGGCAAAATTTTTTTTTCATGAAATTCTGAAGAATGTTTCTTCCATAAAACACCAATTTAAAATTATACAATGTAAGTCTATGGGAAAACAAGACTCAACTTAGGGACATTTCAACTTGGGGACACTCTTGATACACCAATTACGTCCGCATCTCGGGGTCTCACTGTATATGCATTGACAAAGAAACTAATGGATGAGTAATTCTGTTATATTTCTCTTCAAAGTGTATTTATTCATGGATGGAACAAACTCACCAGCAAGACTAACTTTTGTGAGAAACAACCAATATTCTGGGCGCAGTTTCAAGATCAGAATCACTCAGATAGAGTGTTGGTCACCAGACAGAGGTTAGGATGACTTTTATGCCAATGGTCTTTCAAGCATTCTTATACAAGCAATGGTTTTTTATTATACTGTACAGCTCCAAGAGGGTGTCTGCAGTACTACACAAACATTGCAGGGACAATCAAAAGCTTCAACTTTGCCCTACCCACTGACAGCACTAGTGTGAGACAATTGGCCAACCAGGACTACAAGATGTGCATAAGACAAGCAGAGGGGTTCTGTTCTACTTGCTATACCCAGTGTCCTGACCCTCTGAATTCGTGAGTACCTAAGAAACTTTATTCTGATTACTTGGTTTTTGAAATACAATACTTTAATAGAAATGCTGGTCAGTAGAGATGAAGTGTTGCTTCACTTATTGTTGAATGAATTGATGTTAAATTTTAATTCTCACAAAGTGACTTTTTAAATTGTTAATCTTTATTTCAATTTTTCTTTACCAAAGTTCAAAGTGTGCCTCATCCCAGTGAATGAATAAGGTTCACCTTTAACACATACATCTTTTATGCATTTTTAGTCATCCTAAGTTCTTATGGCAAAGGTTCAAAATAATTTTAAAATACTTTTTTTGATCTAAAAACATTATGAATACTTAATCTTATTGAGAGTTATCACATATTGAGACTGTAGATATATTTGGACTGAAGTTAAAATTGCTGGGGAAGACTTGTGAAATCATGCAGTTATGTCACCAATTTAACACAAATCACAAATAATGTAAATAGAGGCTTCTTTGAAGTACTATACTGTACATTATTACTAATGATCCCAATCAAAGAAGTATATAGTACTTGAGGATCCTGACTTTGCCCAAATTCCAAGAAACATACCTCATAGTCAATTAGGTGGACATGAATTGTTCTTCAATTTCTGAGTGAAACTAATTTTGGTTTTGAAATGATTCTCCACAGGACCCCAGCATCAGCCACCATGACCTTCACACTGTCCTCACCATCAGGAGCCCTGCTCAAGTCCACCTCAGGGGATGGCACAGGCAGGTGCAGGTCAGACTGGCTCACCATCAGCTGTGCAGTCAACAACAATGCTTCAGCCACTGGCACCATTGACCCCACTCAATGCACAGACAGGTTCTGTGGTGAGCTCTTCAATGTGGATGGACAGTCTGTGTCTGGAAGAATCTGCTGTGAGTCAATGCACTCATTTATATTACACTGCAACTCAACCTTTAGCTTACAATTTTGAAATGTTGAGCTTAATTCAGGTTTTGAATATTCTATCAGAAATGATGGTCAGTAAGAGATGAAGTGCTGCTTCACTTCATGAATTGTTTTCATTTCTTTGGTTGCCATTGTTAGATGGATGGATGTTGATTTGAAATTCTTACAAAGTCAATTTCTAACTTCAAATTTGTAAAATTAAATGTTTAAAATTTGCAATTTTTAGGCTTCATCTTTTTGGGTGATTTGAAAATTGATGTTTACATTCATGGAACTCATGGTATTTCATGAACATTCACAGCTGCAGACACATCCTTGAGGTATGTCACAGATGGGAATGAGGCAGACACCAACCAAGAAGCTGCCAATGGAAAAAAGGACCAGGGTTTCTGCCTCTACTATACCCAGCAGACTTGCACCTGACCTCAATACCAAAAAATCTGCATCTGCATTGTTTTGTTGTTCTTGCTCTGTTGGTTATCTTATAAGGTATAAAGGGGTGAGAATCAGAAAGAAAGAAAAAAAAAAACCTGAACAGACCTTGAGGGAATCCAAAGGAGAAATTTTATTGTGGGAGGTGGAGGGTTAACAACCATGTGGCAATTTGTTTTTTTTTTCTCACCCAAGTACAGTTATCAGTACACCACCAGAAAGCTGCCAGCATGGGTGCTTTCAGAACTACCAAGGGAACAAAAAGCAGTTTATCCTGTCTTCTGCATGTAAAAATCATGACTGAAACAAGTATAAAAAAAACAGTCAAAAGAAAATCATTTAACTAATACATAGTGCATGTGTCTCAAGGTTCACATTCAAGACAAGTTAAAGAAGGGATGTTGCACAGATTTTTTTTTTAGGAATTTGAAGTGAAGTTCTTTAGGTACCAAAGACTTGAATACAAACTGTTCAAAAATTTTGTTGGATTATCAACAAAACTCAAAACAAACATCTATTTGTATTCCTATGATTTATAAAATTGTAACTGTAACTTGAAGGGGGCCTTTTTAGGCCTTGAACAGACAATGATATCAGAGGACAACATGTATGTTGAACATCAAGGATGCTGCCAATAAACAGATTTTCAAGTATTTAGTAGAACTCTTGACTGTCTTCAAATTCATAAAAATGCCAATCATGGCAGATAAATCTAATTTTCTCACAGTGTTCTGCTCTTTTTATCCTCTTGAAGTAAATTTGGTACAAGAAAAAGTGAAACAGTGGCAAATAAATGCATAAACCTTCTTCATGCATCAAACATGTTTGAAAAAGCTACAGAGGAAAATTTTTAAACAAAAGTGAGAAAAAGTTAATATCCTATATACTGCATAAAGCACCCAAGAGAAAAATAGCAGACACAAAATAAAATCAAGAAAATGTGTGAAAAGTACTGTATATACCCTTTTGTCAACTTAATTTCAAGGAAACAAAATTAGCAATTCCAAAAAAAAGGCATCATTCTGATCACGAATTTCTCCCAAAAGTAAAACAAAATGCACAAAATTGTATACAGTACTTGGTGATAAATTCCTTCTATTATTGTGTTTTCGTTCACCTGCCTGAATGCGTTTGCCAATTATTGTGCAAAAAAAAATGAGACACAAAAAACGCGACAAGGGAACCAATGTGTCAGCCGTCCATCCAACAAACCCGCACAGATTTCGCAACAACCCCAAACAGTATTCTCTCCATCTTGTCCTGAACTTTGTACTTTTGCCCCCCCCCCCCCCCATATGACCAAGGGTTTGCTCATAAGTTTTTCAAAACTCAATTCAGGAACTTGAATTTTCATATAATAATGCCACACTTTTTAAAAACCAATTTAAATTGTAATCTTTTAGAAAAAAAATGGAGAGAAGACAGAAAGATTCAAGGCCAAACATTGGCTTTGAAAAGATTAGGTACACCTAGTCTCACTGCAAATCTGCAATGACATTTTATTTGAATATTAGTCTCATCAAAGCAGGGAATCCCTGCAAAATAAAATTAATAGGCTCCAGGATGAGTTTCACAGTGTCCTGATCTCAACAAATATTTTTGTGGTGCAATAGAGATGAATTTGAAGGTTTTACATACCAGCAAACATTTTGCTGAATCAGGAATTTGATCACAGAAAATCTCCACAAGAGCAGCCAAGTATTTTTTTTACTAATGCTCCACATACTTGTCTTTGAAAACTTTGAATGATTATGAGTAAACTTCATTGTAAAATACAACCAAACCCAAAATTTTGACAATACTGATATACTGTATATCCATATACAGTACATATAATGAGTAGCTGACACACATTTTTAATCAAAAGCCCAATATATAGTGATTCCTTGATTCCAGCAATACATTGTGAATGTACTTCTCAATTTCAAAAAATTATAGTGATTAGAGGGAACATTACCCAAAAAAATTATCAAATTTTTTTAAGTGGTCCAAGAAATCTCATGAAACTTGGATGAAAAGTCAGTCAAGAAAAAACAAAAAACCCCAGTTCATGAAAATGACATCACCTCAACCACTTCCTCCCACAAGGAACACCTTTTAGAATGCCATTAATCAATTGAAAAAACATTTTCAATTTCAAAAAAATTATAAAAATTATAGGTAAAATTACCCAAATAAATTATCAAATTTTTTGAAGTGGTCCAAGAAATCTCATGAAACTTGGATGAAGAAGTCAGTCAAGAAAAAACAAAACAAAAGTTTCCAGTTCATGAAAATAACATCATCTCAACCAATTCCTCCCACAAGGAACACCTTTTAGAATGCCATTAATCAATTGAAAAAACATTTTCAATTTCAAAAAAATTATAAAAATTAGAGGTAAAATTACCCAAATAAATTATCAAATTTTTTGAAGTGGTCCAAGAAATCTCAGGAACTTGGATGAAGTCAGTCAAGAAAAAAAAAGTCAAATTCACTAAAATAAAATCATCTCAACCAATCCCTCCCTCAAGGAACACCTTTTAGAATGCCATTAATCAATTTAAAAAACATTTTCAATTTCAAAAATTTATAAAAATTAGAGGTAAAATTACCCAAATAAATTATCAAATTTATTGAAGTGGTCCAAGAAATCTCATGAAACTTGGATGAAATCAGCCAAGAAAAAGCAACCAAACAAATATCCAGTTCATGAAAATAAAACAACCTCAACCAATTCCTCTCACAAGGAAAATTATTTACAAGAGCATTGATCAAATAACAACAACAACAACAAAAACAACAAAACTTTTGAAAAACCCCTTCCTCCTATATATACCCTATGCATGAGTCTGGCATGAGTTACTCTGCAGAAAACCCTCACTTGCTTCCAGGAACCCATCAAGCAGGAACCATGAATATCCAGGCCAAATGGAGTAACCCCTCTTATTCCCCTCCTTTCCTGCTGCGCAACACATTACCCACGGTTAGGGATTGCGCACTTTTTTCATTCCCGGGAAAATCCGGGTTCACATCCGGGGGTGGGGTGGGGGGGAGGTGGGGGAGTGTGTTGGGAAGAAGCAGGAGGGGGGAACAGAACAATGGGAATAATCCCGGACAGAAGAAATTGCGCCAACTCAGAAGGAAAATTCTACTGTTCATATATAAAAACCCAGCAACCCAAGAGAGAGGGAAAGCAGTCTGTCCCAAACCTGCGCAAGGAGCAGGGGGCACTCCACAGTAGACTTCTTCAATTCTTGAAAATTATTTTTTTTTAAAACTATCTTTCAGTTTTTATTTATTTATCTTGAATGTGAGTGTGAAATTCAGTGTGTATATGAAGATATGCTGTTGGCATGCAATGACATTATGCAAGGTTTGGTAAAATTGTACAGTGAATAAGTTCATGATTTTTCTTTCAGTGGTTTCAAAAGATCTGCATGACAGATAAAATTTACACAAAGTGGTTTAAAGTGAGTTTAAACCAAAAGTATTACAACAGGTCCCATCTTGTTGATGCGACAATTATCAATCAGAGGAATAATATATACAAGATTACTTTTTGACATTCATTACATTCACTATACTATGACATGTTCAAGTAATAAGTCTATAGCCAAAGTTGAAAGGCACAATAGGGGCAATCAAATCTCATATTTTGAAAGCAAAATGACCAGACATGAGATATTTGCCAAAATGTGCCACTCACTCAAATGGGTATTCCCTTATTTTTTAATCTTACAATATTCCTGAACTGAAAATTTGAGAATGCATTTGGCTGTTCCCTCAAATTATTACATATTTTTAGGAATAGACAAGGACATTCACAATATACTGTTGAAATCAAGTGAATCAATTTGAGCACATTGTTTTGAAGTTTCTGTTTGCATTTCATCATGTCCTGTACAGTATTTTGTTAAATCTTGAGAAGTGTGGGTATGACTGTATTTTACAGTGAAGTTACATTACTGCATTTTTTTTTAAAGAAAGTGGGATTTTAGTGCACTTCAGATGCACATAATGTTTGCTTTTCTCATATACATTCAGTGAACACATATCTGCAAGGTCAAGTTATCATTTTCTGCAAATTCAAGATAATATCATTTCTTATGAAAAACTACATTTTTCAAGTTACATGGTAGCCATTTTAAATCTTTGTAGTGTACCACCAAGTTTGACTCCATTAAAAAAAATTGTGAACAGGGAATATATTTCCTATCTTTAATAACAATTATATTACTGAATCATTCCCAAATTTGAGCATGTTTGTATCTACAATGTAAAAAATACACTTTTTCTGGATTTCTGAAATTTGTAGCTTTGTAACTTGGATTCAAGAAGAAATTAAGGGGACCTAGCCAATGATTAAACACCTATACATAATTCAAATTTATAGTCAATCCATGGAAATTATGCAAGTCACTAATGCAAATTAAACTTACCAAACTCAAAACCTTTTTGGCAACACATTCATT